TCTCAGCTTATTTCTTGAAAGTATTTCACTTTCATTCAGAAGGTGTTTTTGCTGGATATAGAATTGTACGTTTACAGTCTTTTCTTTGAATATTTAAGGTGTTGCTTCTTGTCTTCCACCTTTTAGGATTTCTGATGAGATAGCTGCAATCATTCTTTGTTCCTCTATTTTTCCTAGGCTGCTTTAAGATTTTCTATTTCTCATTGGTTTTCAGCATTTTAATGACTAGGTGTTTTGGTATGGTTTTCTTTATTATTATTCTAATGTTTGGTGTGCATTGAGCTTCTTAGATCTGTGGGTTTTATCAACACGTTTCCATTGTACTGGAAATGTTCTGGCCATGAATCTTCAAATAGTTTTGCTCTTTCCTCAGTCCTCCCTCTTTTTTTCCTGAGAGTAATTACATACATTTTCTTTTTTCATCTCATCATTATCTTCAAATTTCCCTCTTATTTCTTGAACATATGGAACATATTTCTAGTTGCTTTTTTAACATCTTTATTTGCTACTTCATCCATCATCTTTATTTTCTGGATCTTTTTCTGTTGGTTGATTTTTCTCCCGCTTCTTTGCATGTCAGGTAATTTGAGATTGGTTGCCAGACATTGTGGCTCCACATTTTGAGGTGCTAAGTTTTGTTACTTTAAATTTTTTAGATTTTATTCTAAGGTATAGTTAAGTTACTTGGATTCCGTATGATCTTTCAAGACTTGTTCTCAAGTGTCATGAGTGCTGGATCAGAACAGCCTTGAGTCTGGGGCTAATTGGTTCCATTGCTGAGGAAGCACTCTTCTGAGGACTCTTCCCGATTTCCTGTGTGTATTGAAGCAGATGGGAACAGGAATTATTTCCTCCTCTTTGTAAGGTCTGGGAATTGTGTGGCAAACCGCTTTAACAGTGCTTCTTTGCCCAGTTCTGATTAGTTTCCTCTCTTGCTTGTGCAGATCAGTTCTCAGCCATAGAATTGAGGGGATCCCTCAGCAAATCTTCAGAGCTTTCCTTATCACTCTATCCTCTAGTGTTTTGTCCCATAAATTCCAGCTGCGTCGGCCTCCCCAAATCCTCCTCTCTCTACCTTTCTGTCTCTTACTCTCAACTCAAGCAGCCTACCAAGTTCTAGGTGGGTTCTTCCTTCCTGAAGAAAATGTAAAAGAGGAAGAAAATGAATTTAGACTTACTTGGTTGAGGGACAGAGCTTACTGCAGTTGGAGTGCTGCTTTGATATGAGGCCTAGTGCCCTGGGAAACAAACGTCAGTCGTCTGGACATGTTCTGGTGGCACAGTGCAAAGAATACCTGATCCCACACATTTAAGAAAAGGCAGTCTGCTCTTCAGAGATTCTAATCACCATTTTGACAACTGGACACTCTCAGAAAATATAGAGCGTTGATTTTGACTTTGTGATGTTATTTCTCTCAGTTCCTGTGACCTAAAGTATACAGAAGGCGTACAGTCCCTCAACTGGACTAAAATCATGAAGACTATTGTTGATGACCCTGAGGGCTTCTTCGAGCAAGGTGGCTGGTCTTTCCTGGAGCCTGAGGGTGAGGTGCGTGAGTGTGGGGTTTCCCGTTATTATTTGGGCAATTAGGAGAATGCTGTAGAAATAGCATATGAGAGACCAGACCAAGTGGGAAAAGCTGTGAATACATCTTGGTATTATTGTTTCTCCAAATGAATTTTAGGGTAGATGATAAATTAACTGGGCATTAGTAGCCATTGACAAGAGTTCCTTGAAATACAAAAACTGTTCTTAGTATCTGGGGAAAAAATTCTTCAGTGCATTTTGCAAAAATTGTTTTCTAAAAAATGGTCCTCCCACTTCTGCATAATGCATTATTACCCAGAGTATTTCTGCAGTTAATATTTCTGAACAAAGAAGTATGATGTGAATCTTTAAGAAATATGAATTATGGCCCTGGCCGGTATTGTTCAGTGGTTAGAACCTTGTGCGCCCCCACCACCATGCCCGCCCCCCCCTCCCCCGCACTGAAGGGTTGGTTGCGGGTTTGATTCCCGGTCAGGGGCACAAGGGCACGTACCTAGGTTGCAGGTTCGATCTCTGGCCCTGGTGGGGGCGTGTGCAGGAGACAACCAGTCGCTGTGAGGATTAACAAAGAAATAAGAATTATGAATTAGAGATACATAGGGTATCTAATAAAACAGTATCATTTTTCTCTAATTCACCAGGGTAGTGATGCTGAGGAAGGGGATTCAGAGTCGGAAATAGAAGATGAGACTTTTAATCCTTCAGAGGATGACTATGAAGAAGAAGAAGAGGACAGTGATGAAGATTATTCATCAGAAGCAGAAGAATCAGGTTAGTCTTTACAGGGAAAAGTTTCTATGGCTTTCTAATCTAATGTCATTTCTGGAAACTACTTTTGTAAAAGGAAAGAATTGTCATTCTATTCCAGTCTAATGACTAGTGCTTAATCGATTTTATTCCAGACTATTCCAAGGAATCATTGGGCAGTGAAGAGGAGAGTGGAAAGGATTGGGATGAACTAGAGGAAGAAGCCCGGAAAGGTAAATTATTTTGTTTGTTTGATTGATTTTCTTGAGGCACATATTTCTAACAGATTTCAATCCTTAACCAATGGAGAAAATGAGGTCTGGGATTGCCTATATTCTCCAAGAGGCAGACGGCTTAATTGGATGCTTTTTTCATATGGTCAAGCCCCCGATGGGCCCATCGCCATGATAGCCACATAGTCTTATCAGGCTCCAGAATTAAGCCATTAATTTCCCAAATCTAAGTCCTATAATAGTAACTTTTTAGGCCTCTTCCAGGTTAGGAATGTTTTCAAAGTGCCAGTTTAACTACTCTGAAACCAAATGCCAAATATAAGTTGAAGATAAAAGGAAATGCCCTGGCAGGGTAGCTCAGTTAGTTAGAGCATCCTCCCAATACACCAAGGTTTCGGGTTCAATCTCCGGCCAGGGCACCATACAAGAAGCAACCAATGGCCCTGGCCGGTTTGGCTCAGCAGTTAGAGTGTCGGCCTGTGGTCCAGAGAGACCCGGGTTCGGTTCCCGCTAAGGGCACGTACCTCGGTTGCAGTTTGTCCCCGGCCCTGGTTGGTCATGCGGGTGGCAGCTACTCGATGTGTCCCTTTCACGTCGATGTTTCTCTCTCTCTCTTCTCTCTCCCTCCCACTCTATCTGAACAAAAAATGGAAAAATGTCCTCGAGTGAGGATTTAAAAAAAAAAAAAAAGCAGCCAATGACTGCATAAATAAGAACAACAAATCCATGTTTCTGTCTCTCTCTCCCCCACTGTTCTCCTCTCTGCCCTTCTCCTTTCCTCTCTCTCCTCCTCCCTCGCCTTCCTCTCTCTAAAATCAATAAATAAAACTTTTTAAAAAGATGAAAGGAAATCTCTACTGTATCCTAAGCATTGTGATGGGTACTTTGCCTAGATTGCCTTATTCAATCCTTATTTGTTTATAATTTTCTATTTTATAAACAAACCAAGGCTCAGAAATATTAAGTATTTGCCCAAGATCACACAACTGGTAGGTGAGTCAAGATTAAAGTTTAGGTCTAACTCCAAACTATATTCTCTGTACCGGTCCATGCTGTCCAGTAGTGTTAACCTGGTTCTCTCATTTAGCGGACCGTGAAAGTCGTTACGAGGAAGAAGAAGAACAGAGTCGAAGTATGAGCCGGAAGAGGAAGGCATCTGTGCACAGTTCAGGCCGTGGCTCTAACCGTGGTTCCAGACACAGCTCTGCACCCCCCAAGAAAAAGAGGAAGTAACTTCTGAACTTTGGCCCTCAGCTCCATTCTTCCTCCAGCCAACCCCTGAAAATTTTACATGACAGAAACTGTATTTTTCCTTTTTTTCTTTTGAAGTTTTGCCATTTGTGTTTATGGGTTTAGGGGGCCATTTGTGTGGACCAATCTACTCGGGGAATTCCAGGCCCACCAGGACACGTGCCAATGGCCCCATCCAGATGGCAAGGCAGGAGGTGTTTCTTGAAGAAGGGCAGAGGCTTCCGCTGTTAATAAATACCGTTTCATTCCTCTCTTCCTGTCACCTTCTGCCAGGACATCATGGGCTTCTGACATCTTATTCTTTGATGTTTCAAAGCTGTATTTCCAAGATGTTGGTACAAGGTGACTCTTACCTACTTGTACCGTGGTTCTTGACCAGCAGATTTGATCCACCATCCTACCCTACGGCCATGACCTTCCTCATATCTCGTAAGTTCCATCTGTGCAGGACTCAAGAACAGGTTCTTGGAATTTGCTAATGGTTATGATAAACCATACAACTTGAGCTAGTGAGGCAAATTAGGATGGTACCTCTGTCTGAGTTTTCCTGCTTTCTTGCCTCATGCAGATTCTGGGGTATTTCTGCTGCCTTGAAGACGTAAGAAGCAGCGGCACTCCCTGGCTTGGTGTCATTCTCCTTTCAGATTCACGCATGGTATATTGGTAGAAACAAAATTACTGTTGTTGATTTTCTGATATACCTTAGTAAGAATAGCTGTGCCTCCTATACTGCTTCTAGGTGGAGGCTCATTACTAAGGAGTCAACATTTAGATCTGGAAGGGGTAAGAGTCGTGCCTTGGGCCTAGAATACCCTGATGAGAAAAGAAGAGAGGAAGAGAGGCCACATCTACAACAGGGCCTCTCGTCACTGCTGCTCCTTATTTTTACTTGTCCTGCATTGTCCTGTATTTATCACAGTTTCTGTTGAACAGCTTTTTAAGTATTTGGGGAGTTTATCTTGCCATCCTCCCCCTCCTGGTTCTCTGCACCCACCTGTTCCACTGCAGTTCATTCTGTGTTCTGTGACTTTAAGAGAGGAGGGGGGAGGGGATCTCAAATTTTGTTTATTTGTTTGTTTGTTTGTTTTTTCTCCTTAGCAGTAGGACTTGATATTTTCAATTTTGGAAGAACTAAAAGATAAATAAACTGTGGTTTTTTTTGTTGTTGTTTTGTTTTTGTAAATTTAGCTTTTGTGACGGTTCTTTTGCAGTTCCTGAAAGCAAGCCTGCTGGCCTGGTAGAGGGCTAAGGTGTTAGAAAATAATGCCTTTGTCTAGCTAGTGTCACAAAAACAAGCTCACATTCTAAACTTTCATGATTAAGTTGAGAGATACTAGACATCACAGTAAACCAAATTCATGGCTTAGCAAGTTACTTTATAAGGGACTTTTTACTGTGGTTCCCTCATAGAGTTTAGAATGGAATAGCACTTGTTCTATCATGAAAACAAATCTTCAGTCATCTCCTTGTAAATAGCATGGAAGGCAGCAGCAGCTTGAAGGGACACTTTCAGACTTCCTATTGGGGTAAGCTGGTCTTCGGGGCTAACAACTGTTGGGGAAGGAAAAAGAAACATGTCAGTAGTATCATTCAGTTAAGAAACACATGCTGGTTGCTAAGGATACGGAGTTCCTTTATTTCTTAGGGAGATTCAGTCTAGTGCTATGATGAAAACAAGATGCTTTGGGAACACACAGAAGTGGCACCTAACCCAGGATGGAGGAATTAGAAAAGGCTTTCTGGAGACAATCCCTGAACTGAGTCTTTAAAAAGTAGAAGATAATTGCCCAGGCCGGTTTGGCTTAGAGGTTAGAGCATCCGGGTTCTGTTCCTGTCAAGGGCACGTACCTTGATTGCGGTTTGTCCCCGGCCCTGGGGTCGTGTGAGAGGCAGCCAGTTGATGTGTCCCTCTCTCCCTCCCTCTCACTCTCCCACACTATCTGAAGATAGATAGAAAAATATCCTCAAGTGAGGATTTTTAAAAATGTAGAAGATAATGCCCTAGCCAGTTTTGCTCGGTGATTAAAGTGTCAGCCTGCAGACCAAAGAGTAATGGGTTCGATTTCTGTCAAGGGCACGTACCTCGGTTGCTGTTCGGTCCCCGGGCCTGGTCGGGGTCATGTGGAAGGCAGCCAGTCGATGTGTGTCTCTCCCTCCCTCCCTCCCTGTCTGTCTGAAAATAAATAGAAAAATATCCTCAGGTGGGAATTTAAAAATGAAAAGTAGAAGATATCTTAAGCATGTGCCAGGACATGAGACTATGACAAGTCTGGAAGATTGTGAGGCGTGGCAGAACGAAGCTGTGCAGAGAAGCGGGGGCCAGATCATAAAGGGCCTTTGTCTTCCAAGGAATTCGGTTTTAACTGAAGGTATTAGTGATGGTTTTTGTTTGGTTCTAGAAAAATGGCTCCATTATTTGGATAATATATTCAGAGGTGACACACAGATCAGGAAGGGTAGTTAGGAGGCTGTTGAGCAATTCAGGAAGGAAATGAAGGAGTCTGAAGTACAAGAATAAGGGTAGGGAGGTAGGGATCGATTCAGACTATTAAAAGAGGTAAAATATAATTTTATGATAAAATGTTGGGAGTGAGGAGAAGATTGGAATCAAGGATGATCAATTTGGATAACCAGATGGATAGTGGGTGAGAGGGAACATAAGGCACAAGGTTGTAGGTGGGGGCAGGAAGGTACTAAGGGCATATAAGTAGTGACTTAGTTGGCTGTAAGTCAAAATTTTATTTAAAATCGGGTCTAAGGGCGTGCCCGGCTAGCTCAGTCTGCAGAGCATGGGACTCTTAAAAATCAGGCCTAGAAGCCTAGATTTGAGATGATTTCTAGGTTACAAGTAAAATCCTGAGTGGATGCAAACACCTAGGAAAACGGTGTATGGATAATACAAGGCTAGGAATTGAACCAGGGGAATCCAACATTCAAACCCAGGATGAAGACCCTGCGCAGGAAACAGAATCTCCCAGAGTGATAGGGACAGTCCAAATGGCCTAAACCAAGGGAGAAGAGTTTAAAAAGGAGAATGAGAAAGGTCAAGTAGGATGACTAAGAAAACCAATTGGAGTTGGCAGTAGGAAAATTGATAAGAACAGAGTGTAAAGTATTTGGATGAAAAGTTGATCTTAATTGAACAGTATAGGCACCAAAAGAGTATTGTGCACTGATCAGCCATTCAGCAAATATTTCAAGGAGCCACGTTTTGAAGTGATGGGAGAAAATATAGCTCAGTGCTGGAGGAGTTTTGAAGCCGGAAATGGAAGGGAGGCCATAATAAGGAGATTACTATAAATTTTTCTTATGACTAAAAAAATTGAGAAGCATTCATTGGCCTTAGGGATTTTGAGGTCACCAGAAAAGGCTTAAGAGGTTTTCCCTTACGTACAAAGGGCGTGGAGGTCAGGAGAACTTGGCACGTTTGGGAAATGGGGACAGGGATAGAAATTGGGAGTTAGGTGGAAAACAGCCAACAGAGATGGCACTTTCCATGTCCTAAGCACTTTACACAATCCCCCCTCAATCCTTCACTGAAGTGCTCCCTTAATCCTCGTGACGTTATGAAAGAGGAACCACTATTATTCTCATAGTTGAAACGGGCACAGAGCGGTTCAGTAACTTGCCCAATATCACACTTAACTAACTAGTGGAATATAATGAAGAATCTTTGTCCACTGGTGAACTTGGAAACTCGGTCTGAAGAGTTTTCCTCAAAATTTCTTATAATTAGTAAAAAAATAAATTTTTTTTTAAAAATTTTCTTTTTATCCTCACCTGAGGATATTTTTTCATTTTTTTGTTGTTGTTCAGCTCGAGTAAGAGGAAGAGAGGAAGAAAGAGAGAGAGCCCTGGCCGGTTTGGCTCAGCAGTTAGAGCGTCCGCCTGCGGTCCGGAGAGGCCCGGGTTCGGTTCCCGCTAAGGGCACGTAACTCGGTTGCAGTTTGTCCCCGGCCCTGGTTGGTCGTGTGGGTGGCAGCCACTCGATGTGTCCCTTTCACATCGATGTTTCCCTCTCTCTCTCTCTTCCTCTCTCTCCCTCCCACTCTGTCTGTACAAAAAAATGGAAAAATGTCCTCGGATGAGGATTAAAAAAAAAAAAAAAAAAAAAAGAAAGAGAGAGAAACATTGATGTGAAAGGGACACATCGAGTGGCTGCCTTCCGCAGGACCCAACCAGGGCCGGGGATAAACTGCAACCGAGGCATGTGCCCTTAGTGGGAACCGAACCCAGGTCTCTCAGGACCACAGGCCAATGCTCTAACTTCTGAGCCAAACCGATCAGGCTAATTTTTTTTCTTTTTTTTTAATCCTCACCCGAGGACATTTTTCCATTTTTTGTTCAGATAGTGTAGGAGGGAGAGAGAAAAACATCAATGGGAAAGGGACACATCGAGTGGCTGCCACCCGCACAACCCAACCAGGGCCGGGGACAAACTGCAACCAAGGTACGCATCCTTAGAGGGAACCGAACCTGGGTTTCTCCAGACCGAGAGCCGATGCTCTAACTGCTGAGCCAAACCAGCCAGGGCTAATTTTTTTCTTTTATCGATTTTTAGAGAGAGAAAAAGGGAGAGGGAGAGAGAGAGAGAAAAATCAGTGACAGAGAACATCAATTGGCCGCATCCTGCACGCCCCCGACTGGGGATCAAGCCCACAACCCGGGCATGTGTCCTGACCGGGAACCGAACCAACAACCTCCTGGTGCATGGGTCAACGTTCAAACACTGAGCCACACCGGCCAGGCAAATAAAAATTTAGTATCATGACTCAAACATGTACATAAATCAAGTTTCACAAAATGTATACTCTGTGCAATGTACAGTGATACTTTCTTTTCTACGGTTTTGTGGGGGGGGTTTCCTTTAAACTCTGTGATTTACTAATTTAATCTCACCATCCATGAATGGGTTATGACTGGAAGTTCGAAAACCAGTGATCTAGTCTAGTGACTAGTCTTAAATGCCTACCCAGCCTAGCGGCTAAATAAGTGTGTGAAGTCCCAGCTGTGTAAGGTAACGGAGCAGTGACAGTCCGAGCAGGCCCACTTAAAGGCATTCAAATGCAGATATTTGTAAAATATATTCTTGGTCTGATTGCAAAGAGTCTTAAAAACAGATTTAAGAAGAATGTGATCAAATGCACAGAAACACTATAGTAGATGGAAATGGGAAGAAACCAGTGCAACGAGACCAGTTCAGAAAACGTACCGCAGTGGGAATGTAGTCAAGACACGTCTGAAGTGGAATGGATAAGACTTGGTCACCAATGTAAGATGTGACGGAAGAGGGAGGTTGGTGTCTACTTGAGAGATGGGGTATATGACAAGGCATCGAAAGAGAAGAGGTGTTAGCTAACTTTACAAACCGTATGTGTGAGAGGTCAGAAATTCTGGTGTTTAAGTTTGACTGAAAAGAACGCGGTGTTTCGAAATGTTCTTATCTCAGACATCGAGATTTGTAATAGACTCATCATCATGAAGTATGTGGGCTAAAGTTGACAATTGACTATTCTGAGGCTTGATCTAGAAATAAACGGAGCTGTAGGGATTTCAATCCAGTTTGTATCTCATAAACTTTGTAGCAGTAATTATGTCTTGACGGTAAAACAGGGAAAGTATTCATTGTTAGGATGATTTCCTTAAAAATAAGTGGAACTGAGAAGTACAAAAAATTGATTACTCACTGTCGAGCTCTTGCTCGAGAATGTCTCGTCCTGACTCCATGATCTGCCACAGTTTCAGATACGCATATCCTACTTCTTGACATTCTTCATGTTCATCATCCATAGGATCACTTACCACTGTGAACTTTAAACTAACGGGGGGAAAAATTACATTTAATTTAGCACTGCTGATACCCGTAGGCTTAAAAAATAATAAGGCTAAAAGTAATCATAAATTAGACAATGTCTTCCTTGAATCACTTTTTCTTTGCCTCCATTTTATAAGATTACAACAGCAAAAGAGTGAAAAATTGGCATAATTTAAAGTTACAACCAGTCCCTGGCCAGGTGGCTCAGTTGGTTGGAACGTTCTCCGGTACACCAAAAGGTTTGGGTTTGATTCCCAGTCGGGGCACATACCTAGGCAAACTGACCAAAGTTTCTCTCTGACATCAATGTTTTTCACACTTTCTCTCCCCCTTCCTCTCTGTCTCTAAAAAAAAATCAATAAAAACATCCTCAGGTGAGGATTAAAAAAGTGTATTAAAAAAAAAAAAAGTAACAGCTAGCCTTGAAAAGAGGGAACTGCAGATAATGTAATTGATTAGATAGAGATATAGATATCAATTGATATTATATAACTGTTGATATATAATTCCTTGCAAGATGGTTTACAATTTTGATGAAAGATTTGATATGGGCAATGGAGGTGTTGCACAAAAAACAATAAACAGGAGAAGTTAGAAGAAAAGGTTTTAAATTTCTAAATAAAAGTTGGGTACCGCCTGGCCAGTGTGCCTCAGTGGTTGAGTGTTGACCCAAGCACAGAGAGGTCACCAGTTTGATTCCCAGTCAGAGCACATGCCCAGGTTGTGGGCCGATCCCCAGTGCGGGGGGGGGGCGGGGGGGGACAATGCAAGAGGCAGCCAGTCGATGTTCTCTCTCATCAATGTTTCTTTCTCTCTCTCTCCCTTCCTCTCTCTCTAAAAATCAATAAGAAGAAGAAAAAAAAGTTGGGTACCAAGCTTGAGCATAGTAAAGGGAACAGAAGACATACAGAATTGCACCCAACCAGTGTGACACAGTGAATTGAGCGTCGTCCCATGGACTGAGGTCCTGATTCGACTCCCAGTCAGGGCACATGCCCAGTAGGGGGTGTGCAGGAGGCAGTTGATCAATGTATTTCTCTTACATTGATATTTCTATCTCTCCCTTCCTCTCTCTCTTAAAAATCAATAAAAACATGTATCTTTTAATTAAATTTTGTTTTTTTATCCTCACCCGAGGACATTTTTCCATTTTTTGTTCAGGTAGAGTGGGAGGGAGAGAGAGGAACAGAGAGAGAGAGAGAAACATCGATGTGAAAGGAACACATCGAGTGGCTGCCACCCGCACAACCGACCAGGGCCGGGGACAAACTGCAGCCGAGGCACATGCCCTTAGCGGGAACCGAACCCGGGTCTCTCCGGACCGCAGGCCGACGCTCTAACCGCTGAGCCAAACTGGCCAGGGCAAAACATGTATCTTTTAAAAGTCCTCACCCGAGGATATGTTTGATTTTAAAGAGGAAGGGAAAGAGAGAGAGAAACTTCAATTAGTTGCCTCCCATACTCTCCCAACTGGGGACTGAACAGCAAGCTAGGTATGTGCCCTGACTGGGAATTGAACCTTTTGGGGTATGGGATGACTCTCCAAACAACTGAGCCACCTGGCCAGGGTGAGCAGTCAACACTGATTATTACTACCTTGCCTTAGCCTAGCAAAGAATGATACTGAATTCCAGAGACCTATACCTACTAAAATTTTTGAGAAAAATTCAAGGACTATAAATTCATTATTTTAAACATTTTGAAGTGTACAATTCTGTGTTTTTTAGTGTCGTCACAATCTTGTGCAACCATCACTACTATCTAATTCCAGATCATGTTCATTACCCCACCCCCCAATCCTATACTCATTAAGCAGCCATTCATTCCCCTCTCCCTCAGCTCCTGGCAACTACCAGTCTACTTTCTGTCTCTCGATTTGCCTATCCTGGACATTTCATAATCCTATGCTTTTTTTTAAACATAGGTTTTTTATTGACTTTTTAGGAAGGGAGAGAAATAGAAGCATCGATGTGAGAGAGAAACATCGATCAGCTGCCCCCTACTGGGGATCGAGCCAGCAACCCAGGCATGTGCCCAACCAGGAGTCGAACTGAGACCTCTCAGTCCATGGGACAACGCTCAATCCACCGAGCCACACCGGCCTGGCACATAATCCTATACTTTTAAAAAATGTCTTTATTGATTTTAGAGAGAGAGAGAAAGGAAGAGAGAGAGAGAAACATCAATTGGTTTCCTCCCACATGCACCTGACCAGGCATTGAACCTGAAAACTGGGCATGTGCCCTGACTTTTCCATACACTGAACAATGCCCAACCACTGAGCCACACCAGCCAGGGCATAATCCTATATATTTTTAAAAGCAAACATTGGCCCTGGCCAGTGTGGTTCAGTGGTTGGGCATCATCTAATGCAGCAAAATGTTGCCGATTAGATTCCAGTCAGGGCACATGCCCAAGTTTCAGGCTCAATCCCCAGTAAACAGCAGGCAGGAGGCAGTGGATTGGTGTCTCACTATCACATTGATGTTTCTCTCTCTCTCCCTTCCTTTCTTTCTAAAAATTAATTTTAAAAATCTTTAAAAACTAAAAAAGAACAAACAGCCCTAGTTGGTTTGACTCAGCGGTGAGAGCGTCAACCTGAGGACCGAAGGGTCTCAGGTCCGACTTCCGGTCAAGGGTACATACCTGGGTTGTAGGTTTCATGCCTGGCCCTGGTGAGGGTCATGCAGGAGGCAACCAATTGATGTGTCTCTCTCACATCGATGTTTCTCTCTCTCTCCCTCTGTCCCTTCCATTCTATCTAAAAAGCAATGGAAAAATATCCTTGGGTGAGGATTAAAAAAAATTTTTTTAAATAAAAGCAAACGTTGGTGGCTAATGGTGCTAAGAGAGCAAGAAGAGGACTAAAAATTCAAGCTCTTAAAATTATAGCTAAAGATGATTAAACTGAAAGAAGAAATTCATTTGTGGTTATGTTTCTGTATGATTACTGAGAATTTAAAAAATGCAAAGGGATAATACCAACTCCCCCACCCCAATTTTCCCAGGAAAGGGATGGTAACTATCATTACGACATATGGCGCACAATAACAAGTGCTTTAGGTAAACTATGCTATTTCAATTTTATACTCACAAGAGCCTTCAAGTTAAGTAATAACTTAGAGATCAGAGCTAGTAAGTAGAAGAGTCAGGATTCAAAACCACATTTGTCTGATTACAAAGACAATGTTCTGTCCACTGTACCATATTGGCAAAAAGAAAGTCAAAGATAAAATCAACTGGAATCTAAAATTGAGTAGAATGCTATAAAAAAGAAAAGATTACCAGTATGAGAGAATAAAAGAAAAGAAAAGAAGGGTTCTAGCCCTGACCCGTTTGGCTCAGCAGTTAGAGCATTGGTCCGCAGACCAAAGAGTCTCAGGTTCAATTCCGGTCAAGGGCACGTACCTCCATTGTGGTTGGGCCCCTGGCCCTGGTTGGTTGGGTCATGCGGGAGGCAACCAGTCGACGTGTCTCTATCACATCAATGTTTCTCTTTCTCTCCCTCCCTCCCACTCTATCTAAAGATAAATGGAAAAATATCCTAGGGTGATGATTTAAAAAAGGGGGCAGTTCTAGAAATGCTGAAAGAAAAAAAAATAAAGAAAAGGCTAAATTTAATATTAATGCTGAAGGGAAACACCCAAATCACTTTCATTTCCAAAAATTACCAGTAAGCTTATATTTCTTTTAAAAGTCCACTGTGATACTGAAATCAGACTATTTATTTCAGCTGCTTCATTTTTCAGTTATTTCTATGACTAACTAGAGACAAAGTAAATGCAAATTAAATCAATTTATTGGGTTTTTAGAAAAGCAATAAATTTAAATACTGGCCCCATATTACTTTTTACCAACACACATGGAAAGAATATAGGGTTGCCAGATTTTGCAAAAAAAAAAGAAAGAAAAAGAAACCCAAAACAGATGCCTACTTACATTTGAATTTAAAATTTCAGCTAAAGGAAGAGTAGGTGTTTAAGTATAGGTATACCCCATGTGTTTCATCTGGAACCTCTAACAGGAGGCCTCCTCAGATTACAGAAATAACGACAACTGGCCTTCCTAAAACTTATAGAAGACCTAGAATTTACTTCAGTTATATCAAAGTATTTCGTCCAGAGGAATAATATTTAACACCTAACAAAATTAGTATTATAAAGACATAATATTTGGTAAGCTAGCAATGGTACTGTGTTTGTGAGAAATGAATCAAATTATCTTAAAATGTTGAAGCATTTGCCAATTCCATATAGGAAATTGTCAGCAGTCAAGTAAATTGCTGCCTCAAACAAACAAAAAGCACTTAAGAGATGGTATGGATGAGAAATGAGCTCAACCTATGAGATTATATATTTTATCAAATAGTCAGCCATAAACATAAATTAGACTCGATTAGAGGAGAAATGCATTGAGAGTAAATTAATATAAAAGATATTGTTAACTTATTCAATATCAGCACAAAACCAAACTAAAACTCTTGGATTCTCGTGTGAATATCTTCTTTCTTTCCAAATGGAGAGGAAATGCTTACCGTCCTTGCTCAGGACCTTGTCCATTCAGCATGGCGAACAGAAACTGCCTTCGGCCTTTTTGCTCCAGTCGGTCCAGGTCTATCACTGGATTAGGGTAAGAGGGAAAAAAGCAAAGAACCATACACTTTAGCTACGTGGGCACTAAGACTTTCATAAGTGGTACATATAAAACAGAAGTTGGAGAAGTAGGGCCCACAGGCTGACCACTCGTTTTCATCAATAAAGTTTTATTGAACACAGCCCCACCTACTTATTTGCATATCGTCTGGGGCTGCCTTCCAACTACAATAATAGTGTTGAAGAGCTGTGATAGAGACAGTTGCGCCTACAAAGCTTAAAATATTTACTATCTCATCCTTTAAGAAAATGTTTGTCAACCTCTTGATACAAATGAAGCCTTACAACCTACGTTGAAAGCTCTTCTGCTGTATGCCAAGATAGAAGTGCTCCCACCACCTCACAGGTGCAAGAATTCTAGGAGACATTTCGGGGGGGCCCTAGAGATCTGGGTTTTGTGGCAGTTCAACTCAAGGTGCTTGTCTCAACATCCATTCCTCCCTTCCTGCTCACTTGTATATGGGAATGTTCCGGCCTCCAACAAATGGACCTATGTTTTCTAGCCTCTACGTTAGCTGGGTTTGACCACAGGATTAAATTCTAGCTATTATGTTGTATGAAACCTGCCTAACAGGCTCAGCGGGGGGCATTCTTCCTTTCCCCAGATGCCATTAAAGACCATGGAATAACTGAGCAACTAAAAGGATGGAGGACAGGCACTTGGATGGTGCAGGAGGCAGCCAAATGATCTCTCTTCTCTCTCTCTCTCTCTCCCCTCCCCCACTTCATCTCTTTCTCGAATCAATAAAAATATATACAAAAATTTTTATTAGACTGGCTGGTGTGGCTCAGTGGATTGAACATCATCTATGGATGACAGCTCCCGGTTCGATCCCTAGTCAGAACAATGCCCAGGTTTCAGGCTTGATCCCCAGTAGGGGGTGTGCAGGAGGCAGCCAATCAATGTTTCTCTCTCACATAGATCTTTCTCTCTCTCTCTCCCTTCCTCTTCTCTAAAAAAATCAATAAACTTCGGCCGGCGTGGCTCAGTGGTTGAACATGACCCATGCACCAAGAGGTCTCCAGTTCGATTCCCAGTCAGGACATATGCCCGATCCCCAGTGGGGGACATGTGGGGGGCAGCCAGTCTATGTTCTCTCTCATCGATGTTTCTGTCTCTCTCTTCCTCTCACCTCCTCTCTCTCTAAAATCAATAAAGAAACAAAAAATTTTTTTAATAAAATAAAAAATCAATAAACATTTAAAAAATGTTTTTAAAGAAATGCAATAATACTTCCTAGAACTAAAAGCTTGAGCTTCTAGATTGAAAGAGCCCACAGAATGGCCAGAACAATTAAAGAAAAAATATGAACATTATTCTGAAATTTAAGAACACTAGCAATAAAGAAAAATATGTTCAAATCTTCTGGGGAAGAAGAGGATAGTTATCATATACAGATTACACTCCTGGCCTGGATATAGAGAACCATGGACCAAATGCTTTAAAATTCTGAATAAAATGTTTTCAACACAGATGTCCATACTCGGTCTAATTATCAATCGAATAAACAAGTAAAAGAAAGATATTTCAAACACGATCGTCTCAAAATGGTTACCTCCAATGTGCCCTTCCTTTAAAAGTTACTGGAAAATATGATCAATTAAAATAAAAAAGAAGTCCTGGCCTGTTTTGCTCAGCAGTTAGAGCGTTGGCTTGCAGTCCAGAGAGACCCAGGTTCAGTTCCCACTAAGGGCACGTACCTCGGTTGCAGTTTGTCCCCGGCCCTGGTTGGGTCAGGGCTGTGCGGAAGGCAGCCACTCATTGTGTCCCTTTCACGTCGATGTTTCTCTCTCTCTTCTCTCTCCCTCCCACTCTATCTGAACAAAAAATGGAAAAGTGTCCTCGAGTGATGATAAAAAAAAAAAAAGTAAGCCCGGGCTATGTGACCCAGTGGTTGAGCATCAACCCATGCACAAAGAAGTCACCAGTTCGATTCCTGGTCAAGGTACATGCCCAGGTTGTGGGCCAAATCCCCAGTGGGGGGCATGCAGGAGGCAGCCAATCGATGTTTCTATGTCTTTCTCCCTCTCCCTTCCTCTCTCTTAAATCAATAAAGAAAAAAAATTTTTTTAATAAAAATAAAATAAGAATAAATCAGACGGAGGATGACACAGGAGACAGGAAATCTAGCATAGGAGAGAATTAATTAAATAAATTTTCTAAATGGCAGCAGTGGTAACAGCTGAACTGTATGCTAGAAAAGAACAAGAGGATGAAGAGAAGTCTTCAGGAAAAAAACAGGCAAGTTATTTGACAGGTTTGATTACTGGGAAATTTGGCATGGCCAATGGGGGATGTGAAAATAATTATAACAGTTATAATAAAAATAAAGCAGATGAAAAGTTGCGGCAAGCAAAAACATAAACAAGAAAGAAAATATAATCATGGCATATTCTTTGGCTCTGCAAGAATTAATATTTACATGCTTGTAATAATAGATACAATTAAGACTGGATTAAATAAAAATTTATGATCCACCTATATGGGAGGAAGGATACATGGGTATGGTGTGAGAGAAATTTTATGTTCCAAGACTGGAAGTCAGCAGATAATCTCTAAATTGGTGAATCAGAAAACTGCAATACAAATATTACTCAGAAATATGGAGTTACCCCTGGCTGGTTTGGCTCAGCGGTTGGAACATCAGCCCTTGGAACAAGGGGGTCTCAGGTTTGATTCCTAGTCAGGGGCATGTGCCTGAGTTTCAGGTTCGATCCTCAGACCCAGTCAAGGTCCTAAGAGAGACAATCAATCCATGTTTCTCTCTCACATCGATGTTTCTCTCTCTCTCTCTCTCTCTCCCTTCTCCCCTTCCATTCTACCTAAAAATCAATGGAAAAATAACCCAGATGAGGATTAACAAAAGAAAAAAGAGAGAGAGAAAAGGAAGGAAGGAAGAAAGGAAGGAAGGAAGGGAGGGAGGGAGGGAGGAAAGAAGGAAGGAAGGAAGGAAGGAAGGAAGGAAGGAAGGAAGGAAGGAAGGAAGGAAGGAAAGGAGAAGGGGAAGGAAGGGGAAGGGAGGGAAGGAAGGAAGGAAGGAAGGAAGGAAGGAAGGGAAGGAAAGGAAGGAAGGGAGGGGGGAGGGAGGGAGGGAGGGAGGGAGGGAGGGAGGGAGGGAGGGGGAAGGAAGGAAGGAAGGAAGGAAGGAAGGAAGGAAGGAAGGAAGGAGAGAAAGAGAAGAAAGAAAGAAAGAAAGAAAGAAAGAAAGAAAGAAGAAAGAAAGAAAGAAAGAAAGAAGAAAGAGAGAAAGAAAGAGAGAGAGAGAAAGAAAGAGAGAGAGAGAAAGAAAGAAAGAAAGAAAGAAAGAAAGAAAGAAAGAAAGAAAGAAAGAAAGAAAGAAAGCATTAAATGACAGAAAAAGTGACAAGTGGAGTTGTCAGCTGGACTGAGGCTGACAAGAAGGGAAAGGGAGTGATTTTTGGAGAAGGGGTGGGTGAAGGACTGTTTACTTTTAACTCAAAAAAATTTTTAAATTCTATTTGATGCCACATGCATATACTATTTTGACAAATAAAAATAAAAAGATTTGGATGCCTGGCTGGTTTGGCTCAGTTGGCTGGCTGGGTGTCATCCCATACACCGAAAGGTCGCCAGTTTGATTCCTGGTCAAGGCACACGCCTGGGTCTCAGGCTCGATCTCCATTAGGGGGCGTGCAGAGGCAGCCAATTGATGCCATGCTCTCACATCGATGTTTCTCTTTCTTCCTCTCTCTCTAAAAATCAATAAAACTATTTAAAGAAAAAAGGGTTGGAGCCATCCCATCAGCCATCAGAGGTCCAGAATAGTTCTGACCCCTCTGTCTAAACGTCTGCCATCTTGCTCTCCCTGCTGACCACAGTGAGCGCCTCACCCTTGCTAAAGTGGAAGTGGATACGTTCTCCTGCCCTCGGTTTCCTCAGGGATACTGGAGTCTCCGTCTCTGACAAGGGTATATCATAGAACTTGTACTCCACGTACACCTGTTTTACGTTCTCATCAAGCATCACTTCAGCTTCTGAGTAGAAGGCCAGGCTGACAATTTCAATGCACATCTTCTCTGAATCCTGGTAAGAAAAAGACATTTATTTCCTATAGGTTACTGATGCTCCAAGTATATACTCCGCTTAATTAACACACTACTCTCTATCAATCATAGGCATCCTCATTGAATGTATTACTCCTTGAGAATCAATTTATAGGTAAAATTGGCACCAAGAGACAACTTGACTGAATTGTCCCAGCTAATGTGTGGGCAATTTGTAATGAGAATTCAGCTGTTCTGTTTCCTAGTCCAGGGAATCATGTCTTCAGACCAGCCTTTCTCAGCCATCTCTACATAGACAATCAAGAAACTTTCTGAGTGGACAGCTTTTATTCAACTTTCTTGATGGAAACCTAGCCAGCATTTTCCCGTGATTAGCTCCTGAGAGACCTGCTGACTGATGTGGAGATCTAACAGCTGTTTTAGCCGCGATAGCACAAAGCTGCCCAGTCCTTCCTGCAGCCACCGAGGTGCAGGCCACCGAGCAGGACCTCAGACCACGCTGCCCTCACAGCAACCCCAGCACATTCAGCTCCACTTCAGAGTCACAGTCCCCACCGCCATCCTCTCTTTTAATTATCCCTGTATCTACTTCCACATTAGGGATACCAGCTGGAGGGCCAACATCTCTCTAGTTTCCGGAAGTGAGCTGAGACCAACCTAAGCCCCTCCTGCCACAGTGTTGCAGCAAGTTGGTGACATGGCACCAGCAGGAATCCACCCAAGACGCTCCCTTCCAGCCACAATTCTCCCTCTCATCTGAGTGCTCCCTGGCTTTCCTCCAGGCTGCCAGGCCAATGCGCCACTTCTCCAAAGATCCTCCCCTTTCTCTTCTTCTTTTAGGAAGCAAGTGGACCTTCTGTACCATCTCCTAGGAAGCTCAGGACGCAATGTTTCTCAACAAATCTGCAGCCAAAACAATCTGGGTGCCTCTTAAAAAAAAAGACACTTGGTGTTTCCATCTCAGTAGCCCCCATACAACCCTTCTTAGCACACATCATGGAAACCATTGATTCTATACAGTGTTTTCCAGAATGTGGGCTTTGACACTTATGGGTCACCTTAGTAGCATTTTTTTTTTTTAATCCTCACCCGAGGATATGTTCACTGATTTTTTTTGTTTTTACAGAGAGAGAGAGAGAAATAGCAGTTGGTTGCCTCCCACACTCATCCTGACAGGAGCTGGAGATAGAACCTGAAACCCAGGTATGTGCCCTGACTGGGAATCAAACCCACGACCTTCAGTGTATGGGACAATGCTCCAACCAACTGAGCCACACTGGCCAGGGCACTAGCTTTTTTAAAATGAAAGAATAGAATAGAATAGAATAGAATAGAATAGAATAGAATAGAATAGAATAGAATAGAATAGAATAGAATAGAATAGAATAGAAGGCAAATGGTAAAGGTAAGCCTTGTTTCTTGAAACCTTTGTTTACATGACTGTACTGGGAAAATGTAGAAATGTATTTCTTATAATAACAGTCATTTTAAAAAGTGTAATAGAAAGCAGGAAGGCCCTCCCTCCCTCGCCTTCCCCACGAGTGGACACAGCAGCGCCTCTGCCTTGCTTTTCCTTATTTTCTCCCTTCCCCTTCTTTTTTTCCCTTTTTCCCCCCTTCCTCCCTTTAAAATAAAAATTTTTTAAAAGCAGGAAGGGGGGGTGAGAGTGGCAAGAAGGGGGGTGAATGGGGAAAAAGGGGGACATCTGTAATACTTTCAACAACAACAAAAAAGTGTAATAGCTACTCTTATATCAGACTCTCTAAGATGGTTCCTGGGAACATGCATTTAACTTTTAGATATTTAAGTATAATTTATATACAGTAAAATTCAAAACCTTAAGTGTACAGTTTTGACAAATATACACAGGTATGTAATCAACATCCTAGTTAAGATACAGACATTTTCATCGCCCTAGAAACTTCTCTAATGCCACTGTTGCAATTTTTTTTTCCAGGTGTGTCCCTTCAGGGTCATGGTCTCTACTGATTGGTCGGAACCAGGGCAGGGGGTCATTAGTCATCATAGTTGGTCGTGATGTCAGTCACAGCGTTGGCCAGCCTGGCCTTGCTACCACTTTCCTGGGCCTGGAGCTGAAACACAACTAAGGCCTGCATGTTGTCTCTAGGGCTTAATACTTAAGGGAGTGGCCCTGCAAGGGAGTCATTTGAGGTTATTCTCTGCCCCCCTTGTTCTTCTTCTAAGGGGATATGCCACATGAGTTAGTGACATATCAGAGGAGGAAAGGTCAGGGGAGGGTCTGAACTGCATGACCATTGATATGAAAGGTCAGAGGGTCTAAACCACATGACCAGTGACATTAAAGTTCAGGGATTCTAAACTGTAAGACCAGCAATATGCCAGGGAAAGGTCACCCTTGGAGCAAGGTCCTTTCCTACAATTAATTGTTCATTGCCAGGCCATGATGCAAAAGAAGATTCGCTTTATTTATTTTTTATTTATTTTTTATTTATTTATTTATTTATTTATTTATTTATTTATTTTGCCTTTTTTTTTTCTTTGTTGATTTTAGAGGGAAAGGAGAGGGAGAGAGATAGAAACATCAATGAGAGAGAACACTGATTGGCCGCCTCCTGCATGCCCCCCACTGGGGATTTGGTCCACAACCTGGGCATGTGCCCTGACCGGGAATCGAACCTGCGACCCCTTGGTGCATGGGTTGACACTCAACCACTGAGCCACACTGGGTGGGCTAGCTTTTTTTTTTTTTTTTTTTTGAGGGACTTGGGGTCAAATTTCTCCCAGTTGGAGAATGTTGCGATTATTTTTAAGTTGTGAACCCTGTGCTGTTGTGTCAATGTAGGTTAAACCTAACTTCTTGAGGTGTGTCTGAGGAATAGGTATTTTACAAATGAATGGTTCTGTGATCTTTAGATCTTACCAAAAAAAACCTGCCATGATTAATGGGGATGAATATTTCCCCTATACTTAATAATGAATAAACACAGTGGCTTTCAAACTTTAAGCCTCAGTATATGTGTATCTGTCTGTGTGTGTATAAAGATTACTGAAATAAAAGTCTCCTGAAGCTCTGGCCAGGTAGCTTAGCTCAGTGGGTTAGAGCATCAACCCAATAAACCAAGGTTGTGGGTTTGATCCTTGGTCAGGGCACATACAAGAATCAACCAATGAATGCATAAATAAGAGGAAAAACAAATTGATCTCTCTCTCTCTCTCTCTCAAATCAATAAAATTTTTAAAAAGTCTCCTGAAACAATTCTTATCCTTACTGTGTGTGATGCAAACGTTTATTTTGTATTCTAAATCTATGTGGGTATCTTTGTGCTGTTGTTGCTCTTTTATTTTTTAGTGCTGGCTGGGACTCCCCTATTTTGGTTAGATTCCTGCTAATGGATGCCAGCTCACAAAGGAAAAACATTGCACCAGAGTCATGGTACATTGCGCCATAGCCCTTCGCCACATGTGGCTGTTGAGTACTTGAAATATGGCTAATCTGAACTGGGATTTGCTGTTAGTGTAAAATTCACACTGGATTTTGAAGACTTTGCATTAAAAAAATGAATTTACGATATATCAATAATTTTTCTATTGATTTCATGTTGAAATGATAGTATCTTTGACATTTAAGTTAAACAAAAAATATTTTTAAATGTTTTACTTGTTTCTTTTTACACTTTTAAAGTGGCTACTAGAAAAAATTTAATTAAATTTGTAGCTCTCATTTTAATTCTGTTCGAGCACACTTCATAGACTGTGAGCTCTCTGAGTTCTAGGACCACAAATCTGTTTCACTAACCTCTTCAGTCCCAGCATTTAGCATTTCTCTAACTTGTTTCCTTTCCGTGCCCTCTAGATTTAAGAAATTTTCAAAATTACTTTGACTCCTTCCCTTACAAACACTGTTATTTCAGTAAAGTTAGGAATTGAGAATGTTGGGGGAATAGTGTTGGTAACACTGAGAAAAAGGCCACTATAGTGTGAGAGTACAAATTGGTATAATTGTGGGGATGATAATTTGGTTGTATCCATGAAAATGTCAAGTGAACAATTCCTTTTAAAACCAGCAGTTCAATTCATAGGAAGCTATTCCACAAAAACACTTGCCAAGTATAGAAAGATATCTATGGATCGCGTCCTCCCACAACCACATCAAAGTTACAACTAAACTACAGAACAACCATCATTCAAAACCGCCTGAAATCAAGCTGAATGGAAGTCCTACAATTACAAAATTAAAGCAGCAGCCACATCCAGACTGGTAGGAGGGGTGAAGGCGGACGGGCTTGCCCCACACCCACGTGTGGTGGATAAAAATCAGGACACCTCACCAGGGAAGGTCCTCCCTGAGGACTGAGGGGTCCCCGTCCCACACCAGATGCCCCGCTCAGGGTTCCAGTGCCCGGAAGAGAAGTCCCCATAACTTCTGGCTGGAAAAACCAGCGGGATGTGTCTTGGTGTGGGCCTCTTGGGGTTCATCTTGTTTGGGACTCTCTGTGCTTCCTGGACTTGTATGTCTGTTTCCTTCACCAAGTTAGGGAAGTTTTCTGCCATTATTGTTTCAAACAGGTTTTCAATTTCTTGTTCTCTCTCTTCTCCTTCTGGCACCCCCAAGATGCAAATGTTGGCACGCTTGAAGTTGTCCCAGAGGCTCCTTACACTATCTTCATTATTTTTTATTCTTTTTTCTTTTTGCTGTTCCGATTGGGTGTTTTTTGCTTCCTTATATTCCAAATCAATGGTTTGCTTCTTGGATTTACGTACTCTACTATTGAATCTGTGTAAATTATTCTTTATTTCAGTTAATGCCTCCTTCATTTCTGACTGTGCATTCATCATTTCTGACTGGTCCTTTTTTATGCTCTTGAGGCCCTCACTAAGTTCATTGAGCATCCTTATAAGCAGTATTTTGAACTCAGCATCTGTTAGGTTGCTTATCTCCATTTCGCTTAGTTCTTTTCTTGGGGTTTTGTTCTGTTCTTTCATTTGGGACCTGTTTTTTTGTCTCCTCATTTTGGCTGCCTCCCTGTGTTTGTTTCTGTGTATTACTTAACGAGAGGTATGGGGCTCGCTGAGACCAGATGCTGCTTGTTTGAAAGAATTTAGGAAAACCTGAAGCAGGATCCTAGACAGGCCAATCCAATGGTTAAGCAAGTGGCAACAGCTTGGGTGGGCTTGAAAGTGGGACGGGGCGGGGTGGGGCGGGGCCTCAGGGAGTCAGAAGGGCGGGGCTACCAGTGTGAGCCAGGTTGCTGGAGTCCCAGATATGGCGACTGTCTGCCGCCCCCCGGGAAGGACTCACCAAAGGAACAAAGGCCTCTGACAGCACGTTTGTCCCGGAGAAAGCCCCCTCTCCAGCCCTCGCTCCAATGCCAAACAGCTCAGTTCTTCCCTGTATGTCTCTGGCGCCCCTCGAGCTGCCTCCCCTCCGAGCTTAGAGGGAGAGAGTCCGATAAGTCCGTGCGCGGGCCCTTTAGGGAGCTGCCTGGGGCTCCAGCCGCGTCAGTCTCCCTGAGCCTCAGTTCCCGCTGGTTTTTCCAGCCAGAAGTTATGGGGATTCTCTTCCTGGCACTGGAACCCTGAGCGGGGCACCTGGTGTGGGACGGGGACCCCTCAGTCCTCAGGGAGGACCTTCCCTGGTGAGGTGTCCTGATTTTTATCCACCACACGTGGGTGTGGGACCAGCCCCTCCGCCGCCGCCCCTCCTTCCAGTCTGGATGTGGCTGCTGCTTTAATTCCGTAGTTGTAGGACTTTCATTCAGCTTGATTTCAGGCGTTTTTGAATGATGGTTGTTCTGTAGTTTAGTTGTAACTTTGATGTGGTTGTGGGAGGACGCGATACCACATTTACCTACGCCGCCATCTTGACCGAAATTCTGATTTATATTTGTCTTCCCTCAGTATAATGTATCATATTGTGTGCACTGAGCCTGGCAAATTCGAAGACAGGCACTCTATAATTACTTGTTGAAGGAGCAAAACGGCTCACAGGGCTGCTGTGAGGATTGGGTGAGTCAATGAGTATCAAGCACCATCAGCATCATACATCGAGGTCCAAGTAAAAGGCCGTCTATTAATGTAATGGCATACTGATCAGCATTTAAGAGAAATTAAATAGAAACCTAAATATATCGACATGGGTAGACTACCAAACATTACTGATCGGAAAATGCACATTTCAAAATCAAAAAGAATACAGAAGAAACTAAGTGAAGAGTGCATGCACCTCCCTGTACATTTTTTTGCAACTGTTTACAAATCTATAATTATTTCAAAATAAAAAGGTTTTTTGCTCAGTGGTCTCAGTTTTCATATTTAGTTTTTCAAGTAGCATTGTTGGATACACAAAGGTTTTCTAAAAGGAGATTTTGTTTAGCAGACTTCAATTTAGAGTGATGCTTTTACTGATATTTTAGAGAGAGAGGAAGGAAGAGAGAGAGACACACACATCAATGAAAGAGAGAAACATCAATCGGCTTCCGCCTGCATGCCCCCTACTGGGAATTGAGCCAAAACCTGGGCATGTGCCCTGACCGGGAATTGAACCAGCAACCTCTTGGTGCATAGGTGGATGCTCAACCACTGAACCACACCAGCCCAGCTAGAGTAATATATATATATATATATTTATTTATTTTTTTATCCTCACGCGAGGACATTTTTTGATATTTTGTTCAGATAGAGTGGGAGGGAGAGAGAGTGGGAGAAACATCGACGTGAAAGGGACACATCGAGTGGCTGCCACCCACACAACCCAATCAGGGCCAGGGACAAACTGCAACTGAGGTACGTGCCCTTAGTGGGAACCGAACTCAGGTCTCTCCAGACCGCAGGCCAATGCTCTAACTGCTAAGCCAAACTGGCCAGGGCTAGAGTAATATATATATATTTTTTTATCCTCACCCGAGGACATTTTTCCATTTTTTTGTTCAGGTAGAGTGGGAGGGAGAGAGAGGAAGAGAGAGAGAGAGAGAAAAACATCGACGTGAAAGGGACACATCGAGAGGCTGCCACCCGCACGACCAACCAGGGCTGGGGACATAGAGTAATATTTTTAATGTAATCTGTCTACCTTGTAATTCAAATATTTACTGACCAGCTGGCTGCTTTTTGGATTGATCAGAGGTGGTATGGTTTAGAAACCTTGACTAGCATTCCGGCTCCTTCACTAACTAGGTCTATAATCCTGGACACATCATGTAATTATTTTCACCTTTATGATCTCTAAGGTGTTGTTGTCTAGCTCTAACATTCTATGGCTCTGATCTGTCTTATAATGACATTTATAAACATTATAAACATTTCTGTTTTATAAACATTTCTCAAGAATTAATTACTTAATGTCTAAAAAAGATATGACATAAAATTTCAATAAATGATAAACTTAACTATTTGCCATATTAATTGCTTAAGTCTACTGATTTTGAGTTGTTCCTCCCCACTCTAATATCCTTCATTTTCCTGCAGATCCTCTGACTTTCATGGAAGAGATTTGACCTCTACAAAATTTCCTTTTTCTGGATTTTTTTTTATCCTCACCCGAGGATATTTTTCCATTTTTTGTACAGATAGAGTGGGAGGGAGAGAGAGGAAGGGAGAGAGAGAGAGAAACATCGACGTGAAGGGACACATCGAGTGGCTGCCACCCGCACGACCAACCAGGGCCGGGGACAAACTGCAACCGAAGTACGTGCCCTTAGCGGGAACCGAACCCGGGTCTCTCCAGACCGCAGGCCGACGCTCTAACCGCTGAGCCAAACTGGCCAGGGCCTTTTTCTGGATTCTTAAAAACCTTACAGTTTATATCATATAATCTACCCACTTGATTTTAGGTCACCTCCACTTTACTGTTTCTAATGAAGTTCATAATCCTCAATTATATTTTAATCTTTCTTTTTTTTTTTTAAAATCCTCACCTGAGGACATTTTTTTTTCTTTTTCTTTTTTGTTCAGATAGAGGAGGGAGAGAGAGAGAGAAACATCGATGTGAAAGGGACACATCAAGTGGCTGCCACCTGCACAACCCCACCAGGGCCAGAGACAAACTGCAACCGAGGTACATGCCCTTAGCGGGAACCGAACCTGGGTCTCTCTGGACCGCAGGCCGACGCTCTAACTGCTGAGCCAAACCGGCCAGGGCTATTTTAATCTTTCATTCAGTCATTCATTCAACAGATGTTTACTAACAGAGTGATTGTTTTATACCTCACTTATACCTCACAAGATTCTAATACAATAATTGTTGAACATACCTATGGATATTCATATATTTGTGTGTGTGTGTCCTCAATTAATTCCAAAAGAAATTTGAGACTGAAATGTTCAATAGATAATTGTAATGACAGGTTTTAAAGGTTGGGTAGAAAATTTCAGAAACTGAATGATCCCTCTGAGCCCTCCCAGGAAGAATACTTTCCTCTATTCCAGCCTCCACCTCACCAGGTAGACCCCCCTGCTTTGGTGGAGTTAAAGAAAAGGACTTCACCAGGCCTGGGAAGAATCACATCACAGCACACAGTGAAGAAAGCAGTCGAGGGATGCAAACAGGAGCGAGAAGTGTTGAAGCAAGTTTCTCTTTTACATCAAGAAGACGACATTTTCATCAGACTGCCTCAACAGAGTTCCATTCACTCTCCGTTCATACTTAACTAAAAAACTTGAATTTCCTACCAGGTTCATTATAACTAGATCTGAACTTCACATAGATGGTCATTAAGCACACTGACTGTCATTATTTATGATCTTGTCACACACTCAATAATCATCCAGCGTACTTACTGCCTTAGGACGTTTCTGCAATATGGGTGTCACTATATCGTCACTGTCTGTGGTTTGTGCTTCACTGACCTCAGAAGCTTGTTCACAGGATTCTTTATCTGCTAAAGAAAAGGCTGGAGTTACACAGCTGTTTTAGAGCACCCTGTCCACGAAAAGACCCAGCTCCTACATCCTCAATCTTTCTGGTCACTAGTTCTGAGTACTTAGGTGTTGGCTCCATTTATTAAGAATGGCTCAGCGGTTAGAGCGTCAGCCTGCGGTCCAGAGAGACCCGAGTTTGGTTCCCGCTAAGGGCACGTACCTCGGTTGCAGTTTGTCCCCGGCCCTGATTGGGTTGTGTGGGTGGCAACCACTCGATGTGTACCTTTCATGTCGATGTTTCTCTCTCTCTCTCTTTCTCTCCCTCCCTCCCACTCTATCTGAACTAAAAATGAAAAAATGTCCTCAGGTGAGGATAAAAAAAATAAAAGAATCAAACCCTCTTTTTTTATCCTCACCCGAGGACATTTTTGCACTTATCTTCAGATAGAGCAGGAGGGAAAGAAGGAGGATAAGAGAGAGAGAAACATCGACGTGAGAGAGACACATCGACTGGCTGCCACCCACACAACCCCAACCAGGGCCAGGGACAAACTGCAACCAAGGTATGTGCCCTTAGCGGGAACCAAACCAGGGTCTCTCTGGTCCATGGGCTGGCGCTCTAACTGCTGGGCCAAATCGGCCAGGTCTGAAACCCTTTTTCAAAGATTCACTTGCTCTGAAGCTTGCCAAATACACGGGGTTCACTTGAAAAAAAGAAAGGGAAAGAAGGAAGAATGGAAAGAAGGAAGAAAGTTAGTTCATCCCTTTGTAGGAGTTGGAGTAAAAAAGCCAAGGAAATGCAGAGCGCTCAGGGTGTAGAAGATTGCATTGTCCAAAGACAGCCTCAAACAATATCGCCCGTCCCACATGCTCTCTTCACAATGTAACCTTAATGCATGTTATTGGATATTTGAATTTCCTCTTTGTAGAGTGCCATTCAAATCGCTCATTTTCCTGTTAGGTTGTTTGTCTTTTACTTATTGATTTGTAGGAGTTCTGTATATTTTCTGAGTTTGAGCCCTTTGATGGTTACACGTGTTACAAATGTCTTTTCCACTCTGCAGCTTGCCTATTTATAATCTCTTACAGAACAGGAATTCTTACTTTGGAAGGTAGTCAACTTTATCAATGGTTTCTTTATGATTAGTGCATTTTCTTTTTTATTAAAACTTTCCCATGCCCTGGCCAGTTTGGCTCAGGGATTAGAACGTTGGCCCGAAGACCAAAGAGTCTCGGGTTTGATTCCGGTCAAGGGCATGTACCTCGGTTGTGGTTCGGTCCCTGGCCCTGGTTGGGGTCATGAGGGAGGCAACCAATCGATGTTTCCCTCTCACATTGATGTTTCTCTCTCTTTTTCTCCCTCCCACTCTGTCTGAAGATAAATGAAAAAATATCCTCGAGTGAGGATTAAAAAAAAACTTTCCTTATTCTGAGTGATGGATAATGCTGTTATGAGTATCTGTGTACAAGTTTTTGGGTGGAGAAATGTTTTCATTTCTCTTACATAGATACCTAAGAGGAGAACTGCTGGGTTGTAAACTACATGTTTAACTTTTTTTTCTTTTTCTATTTTCTATGTAGTGTAGGCTACAAAATAGTAGTGAATTATATTTTTAGTGATATAACCCACAGTGGAGTATGGTCTTCTTTATTCTCCCAAATAGCCCAAGTTAGTAAAGAATATTAAAAAAAAGATTCTGGCCCTGGCCGGTTTGGCTCAGCGGTTAGAGCGTCGGCCTGCGGTCCTGAGAGACCCGGGTTCAGTTCCTGCTAAGGGCATGTACCTCGGTTGCAGTTTGTCCCCGGCTCTGGTAGGGTTGTGCGGGTGGCAGCCACTCAATGTGTCCCTTTCACGTCGATGTTTCTCTCTCTCTCTCTCTGTTCCTCTCTCTCCCTCCCACTCTACCTGAACAAAAAATGGAAAAATGTCCTCGGGTGAGGATAAACAAACAAACAAACAAACAAACAAACAAAAGATTCTGGGACTTCTGGTCAAGAAGGAGGAGTGGCTAAATACAGTACACACTCCTCCCACAACTACATTAAAAATTACAACTAACCCTGGCTGGTTTGGCTCAGTGGTTGAGGCGTCGGCCTGCGGAGCAGAGAGTCCCGGGTTCGGTTCCCGCTAGGGGCACATACCCCCCCCCAAAAAAAAATTACAACTAAACTACAGAAAAACCATCATTCAAAACCACCTGAAATTGAGCTGAATGGAAGTCCTACAACTAGGAAATTAAAGAGGACACATGGAGACTGGTAGGAGGGGCAGAGGCACGGACAGTCCCACACCCACGTGTGGCAGATAAAAATCAGGAGGGACACCTCAGCTGGGAAGGTCCTCCCTGATGACTGAGAGGTCTCCATTCCACACCAGGCTCCCCATCTCAGGGTTCCAGTGCCAGGAGGAGAAGTCCCCATAACTTCTGGCTGGAAAAACCAGTGGCTGAGGCTGAGGCTTCTGAAGCCCCAGGCAGCTTCTCTTAAGGGCCCGAACACAGACTTACTTGGACTTGCACCCTCCAGGCTCCAGCGCTGGGGAGGCAGCTTGAAAAGCACAAGAGACATACAGGGAAGAACTGAGTTGTTTGGCACTGGGGCGAGAGCTGTAGGGCAGCTTTCTCCTGGAGAGAGGTGCTGGTGGAGACTGTTGTTCCTTTGGTGAGCCCTTCCCCCGCTGGGCCGGCAGACATGTGCCATATCTGGGACTCCAGCAACCTGGCTCACGCTGTTTGCTCTGCTCTGTTGATTCCAGGACCACTCAACCTGTTTCCAGTGGCTTTACCACAGGATTGGCCTGTCTTTGATCATGTTTCAGATTTTCCTAAATTCTCTCAAAAAAGCAACATCTGGCCTCAGTGAGCCTCATACCGCTCACTAAGTGGCCCCAGGCCTGGCACAAGGAACAGCCAGCCTTCGTTCACAACTTGGCTTTTCCTGGGCACCTTCAAGCTCCATGGGACGACGATCAATCCACTGAGCCACACCAGCTGGGCTATAATGCTTTTAATTATAGGATCTGTAATGACTGTACATTCATTCCTAATTTTGCTAACTAGTGTCTTTGCTCCTTTTTTCTCGATCAGCACACCAGTTATCTATGTGTTGCTTCTCAGCTCACAATAAAATCTTCACTGTCTGCTCTGCAATAATGGAGGTGAACCCTATAAATATTTCTTCTTTGCCAAGTAGCACGATGTTAAGTTTTGTCAGTAGAGGGCATTGAAGGATCGCTGGATAAGAACAAGGTTTTCTCCTGGTTCCAGTGTGCTCACTGGGCAGGCTCCTGCAGCACGTGTGGACTCTGCAGACCAGGCTCCTGCAACTTCGGGCCTGGTTCCAGCAGCGCACATGGTTTCCTGCAGAACACAATTCTCGTAGCACATGGCTTCTGCAATATCCAATTCCAGCAATTCCCAGTGGCCGGTAGCACATGGCAGCTTCCCATGGGCAGTTTCCTTGCTATCCCCTAGAGTGGGTTCTCGGTGAAATGCCACTGGCTTGGCACCTGTCTGTGAGTGGTTTACTGCCAACATCGCAGAGGGAACGCAACAGTTCCTCTGAGTTCTGATGTGCAGCCACAGCACACCTCTCAGGCTTCATTCCCTCCGAGACCTGGTTTCAGCCCTGAAGGAGCTTGTCTACCAGACTCATATGTTCTTTGGTGCTATCTCTCAGGTCCCAGCGAAAATCAGGGGATTTGTGGATGCTCTTTATATCTGCTATTCAGAAATTTTTTAGAGTTTTCTTTACTTCTTACTAGTCAATCCTCATCCCCCTAGTTTGATCCCGTTATAGTTAATATTCTTTAAATCAACCATTTATTTTAGTTTTTCAAATGTGTTTTGATTGACTTTTTAGAGAGGGAGAAATAGAGAGACATAGAAATATCGATGTGAGAGCCCTGGCCGGTTTGGCTCAGCGGTTGGAGCGTCGGCCTGCGGTACAGAGAAATATCGATGTGAGAGAGAAACATCGATCAGCTGCCTCCCGCACACCCCCCACTAGGAATCGAGCCCGCGATCCGGGCATGTATCCTGACTGGGAATAGAACCGGGACCTCGCAGTCCATGGGATGACGCTCAGTCCTCTGAGCCACATCAGCCGGGCAATGATTCTTTATATTAAACTGTTTCTGTTCAAATTGTTATGTAGTTTCTGTCTCATGGTTGGATCTTAATTACTATGGTCATTCTAGATAAGGGAGTGTCAAGTTTGTTGATCTTTTCAAGCAAGTAACTTTGGCTTCGTTGATTTCTGTGTTTTTTCCTTCTTCTTTGTTTTCTATTTCACTGATTTCTGCTCTGATCTTTATTGTTTTCTTCTTTAGGTTTGATTTTCTTTTAATTTTCTAGCTTCTTGAAGTAGAAGCTTAGGTTGCTGACTTTAGATCTTTATTCTTTTCTATTTTTCTAAGCATTTCAAGCTACGAAACTACCTTACAAGCACTGCTTTGGCTGCATTCCCTAAGTTGTGATATGTTGTGTTTTCATTTCCATTCAGTCTTCTAATTTTCCTCAGGAGTTCTTCTTTGATGCAAGTGTTATTTAGAATTGTGTTGGTTAATTACCAAGTATTTGTTATTTCCTGCATTCATTTTCTAAGGCTACTGTCACAAAATACCACAGATTTGGCGAGTTGAAACAACAGAAATAAGCTCTGGCTGGTGTGACTCAGTTGGGTGGGTATTGTTCCGTGCTTGGAATGGTTGCTGGTTCGATTCTCAGTCAAAGGCACATGCCTGGGTCGTGGGCTTAATCCCTAGCAGGGAGCATGCAGGAGGCAACTGATGGATATTTTTCGCACACACTGATGATTTTCTCTCTCCCTCTCCCTTCTCTTCTCTCAAAAATCTATAAAAATATTAAAAAACAAAACAGAAATTTCTCCTGGCCAGGTTGCTCAGTTGGTTAAAGTGTTATCCCATACACCAAAAGGTTTTGGGTTTGATTCCCATCAGGGCACATTTCTAGGTTGTGAGTTTGATCCCTGGTTGTGGCACATGTGGGAGGCAACTGATTGATGTTTCTTTCTCACATCAATGTTTCTCTCTCTCTCTAAAATGTCAACAAAAACATATCCTTAGGTGAGGATAAAACAAACAAACAGAAGTTTAAGAGTGAAGTTTGGCCTGGAGCCAGGGAAAACATCCATATTGTAACCCAGGGATATGAGACATTAATCCCATTTGTAACCCTAAAATGTTTGCAGGGCCATTTCCACCCATGGTGGCACTGCACAGTCCTGCAGTAAAACCACAAAGAAGTTGGTTCTGGGCTGGATACAGGACAACCTCACAAAGACATTCAATTCTGCCTTCAATCTCAGCTGCAAAGAACTCAGGCACACTTTTGTGGAGCTTGTCTTCGAGAACTAGCCCAAATTGCAGGATGCAATTCCAGAGATCCTAGTCCAAGAGCATGAAATCCTGTTCACTGTTGATGGTTTCAGTGAGCTGAGAGTCCCCTTGTGAGCACTTGTCCGTGATATATGTGATGAATGGAAGAAGCAGACACTGGTGCCTGTCCTCTTGAGTAGTTTTCTGAAGAGACCATTATTACTCAAGGCCACTTTATTAATCACCACATGACCCAAGGTTCAGAGATCTCTGACTATTGGTTGAACAGCTCCTCTTCATAGAAATGGAGGGGTTCTTAGACTGGACAAGAAGGTGTATTTCTTGAAACACTTTGAAGATGAGGATGAAGTGCTCTGAGCTTTCAATTTGATGAGGAGCAACGCATCCTTGTTCCACGTGTGCTCGACTCCCTCCATGTGCTGGGTCGTCAGCACCTGTCTAAAGCCGCACATGGAAAAGTAGAAAGGAACTGGCCTTGACTTGCCAAACCACCACATCACTGTCCTGTGTTTCCTCTGCAGCCAATTTATGCAGGCTCCCAACCAGTACCTCCAAGCTCCAGTGAAGGCTCTGTGTCTCCTAGCTGCTAAGGGCATGTGGAAACAGACATCTGTATTTGATGGAAAAGACCCTCAGGAGACTTGGGTCAAAGGAGTATGACCTCCTTCCTTTCCTGGAAAAGAATATACTCCAGAAAGGCAAAGACTATGAGGGCTGCTACTTCTTTATCTACCTCAGGGTCCAGCAGTTCCTTGCCATTATGTTCTATGTTCTGAAGAGCGAGGAGCAGAAAAACAAAGATAGCCTCAGGTGGGGCACTGGGGATGTGCAGAAGCTACTCTCCAATGAAGAAAGACTAAAAAACCCCAACCTGACCCAGCTGGGGTACTTCTTATTCAGCCTCTCAAATGAAAAAAGTGCCAAGAGGACTTCTGGTCAAGAAGGTGGCGTAGGTAAACACAGCATCGCCTCCTCCCACAACCACATCAAAGTTACAACTAAACTACAGAACAAACATCCTTTAGAACCACCTGAAATCGAACTGAATGGGAAGTCCCACAACTACGAAATTAAAGCAGCCGCTACATGGAGGCTGGTAGGAGGGGCAGAGGCGCAGAGAGGCTGGTCCCACACCCACATGTAGCAGATAAAAATCAGGAGGACACCACGGCTGGGAAAGTCCTCCCTGAGAAGTGAGGGGTCCCCGTCCCACACCAGGCACCCAGCTCAGGGTCCCAATATCAGGAAGAGAAGTCCCCATAACTTCTGGCTGGAAAAACCAGCAGAAACTGAGGCAGAGGGAATTGAGGCTGCTGGAGCCCCAAGCAGCTCCTCTTAAAGGGCCTGAGCACAGACTTAC